GATGGGTGGACTTCAACTCCCAGAATTCCCTATCTGGTATGCTAATGGGTTTGAAGCTGGGTGGACTTCAACTCCCAGAATTCTCTATCAGGTATGCTAATGAGCCTGAAGATGGGTGGACTTCAACTCCCAGAATTCCCCAGCCAGCATGTGAATGTCTCAGAAAGCCTCACAAAATCACATGCACACTAGATTAAGATGACACCACAACTCTAGACTTACACATATCCCCTCCAGAGAGAAGAATCTTGTTTTTCAGAGAAATATAGGTTTTTTTCCAGCTGTGCAAAAGACGGAGCATAGCTGGCTGGGGACTTCTGGGAGTTGAAGTCCACCCGTCTTAAAGCTGACTCAGTTGAGAAACCCTGCCTTAAAGGATCTGGTCCCTGGCGAGATTCCTCTGCACAGGCCGCCTGGAATCCGTCCATGCCTGGCGACGAGGTTACTTTGAAGTAGAGGGGAGGCAGGAGGACTTTCCATGCAGGCTGTGGCTATAGCAACAATGGAAAACAGACAATAAACAGCTTTTTCCTCCTTCCAATCACTTTTTCCAGAACACGACTCTGCAGCACATGCCTTGGCACGCGGCCCCTCTCGCTCTGCATGCGCTTAGAAAATCTGGAGGCCTGCAACAGATTCGGCGGTGGCGGGTTTTAGCAAGGCGATGTGTTCCTTCTCGGAGAGGCACACGCAGATCTGCTAAAAGGCCAGCTGCCAGCAGGCTCTAGGTTGGAGAGAAATTCCAGGAGTGGAATTGACACGGGTTCCAAGTGTGGAATTGACAAGGGGTTGCAGATGGGGAACTGACATATATTCCAGGGGTGGAATTGACAGGTTCCAGGTGGGGAATTGACAAGTTCCAGGTATGGAATTGGCAAGGGTTGCAAGTGGACAACTGACATATATTCCAGATGGGGAATTGACATGCATGCCAGGTGAGGAATTGACAGGTTCCAGGTGTGGAATTGACATGGGTTCCAGATGAGAATTGATATGGGTTCTAGATAGGGAATTGACATGGGTGCCAAATGGGGAATTGACATGGGTTCTAGATAGGGAACTGACATGCATGCCAAATGGGGAATTGACACAGGTTCTAGATAGGGAATTGACATGCATTCCAAATGAGGGAACTGATCTGGGTTCTAGATGGCGAATTGACAAGAGTTCTGGGTATGGAATTGACATGGGTTCCGGATTAGAATGGTCATGGGTTCTAGATAGGGAATTGACATCAGTTCCAGATGGGGAATTGACACAGGTGCTAGATGGGGAATTGACACAGGTGCTAGATGGAGAATTGACAAGAGTTCCAGGTGTGAAATTGACAAGGGTTCCGGTTATGGAATTGACACGGGTACCCAATGGGGAGGAAGAAATGCATCTTGCATTGGCTCAGGATTACTCCTGAGAGCCAGAGAGGTGACGGCAGCTGCTTAAAAGCGGCTGTTACTCCTCCTCTACTAATACCCCTTTTGGTCTGGTGGGCGGGGGGAGGCCTTGCGGAGTTTTGAGTTTCCTGCTGTGGAAGTGTGCCCCCCAGTTGGGTAGCCAAGCCTTTGGGGGATCAGCTTTGCGGGGAGATCATTTCCAAATTGCATCCCACCCGCGCCAACCCATTGGGCGAGACTCCTTGTGGGCAACCCAGCGGGACGGCGAGAGGAATATTTTTCACCACCGCTTGCCAGCAGCTTCAAAGAGCCTCCTCCTCCTTTTCCTTTCTCCTCCTTTCCCCCCCCCCCCACAAGGCCAACCTTGCGATTTCTCACTGTCCTCAGCAAAAGGCTGCCAGCATCCTTCCTCTCCCCCCTACCGCCATTGCCATGGCTACCCGCTTCTCCATCACCATGGCTACCTCCTCACACTATTATTATCCCCACCATTTATAAACCACTGTTGCTACCCATCCTTGTCACTGTCACTTCTGCCAGCCCCTTCCTCCTGGCCACTGGAGCATCGCGGCGCATGGCTGTTCCCTGGAAGCTGAGAGGCAGCCTCTCCTCCAGGTTTCTCTCCTGCAAGAATCATCCAAGGGACAGTCCAACTTCCACCCCTTTTGCAATGGGTGCATGTGCGTGTGCGTGTGTGTGTGTTGTGTT